CAGGACTTTGATCTTTTAGGAAGGAAGGCAGAACAGGAAATGCCAATGTATCTGAGCTAAACAAAAGCAGCATTAGAAGCACAATAGGCAGAATTCCATTGTTCCCTGCCCCTTCCTTTACACTTTCTTTTCATTTTATCATGTACAAATACATTTAGGTCCTCTCTTTCTTTAATTAAAGGCACAGGTTCTATACCTCAAGGATAAGTACCATTTATTATGTTTCCTTCTGCTTTGTGTAATGTGCTCATCTTAGTTAGAGTATTTAATCATATTTTTGCTTATGCCCATTGGTTCATTGGTTGAATGATTTTTCTTTCTTTTTTCTTTTGGAGTGGAAGCTTTAAGCAGATTATGCCTTTTCTGTCAATGTTATCCAAGACTCATAAAAATCTACTTGTTTTGTTACAAATAAAAGTTCATTTTCCACTTTAAAAATAATTTTTTAAATAGAGAAAACTTGGAAAAAACTAGAGAAAAATTTTTAAAAGTAAAATTTTTTGCCTAGTTGTGCAAAATTACTTTAGGCATAGTGATACTGGAGGTTTTCAAGATGTAATTGGACTGGGTGATAGATGATCTCACCTAGGCTCTCCATCTGTGAGAGGCTGGACCAGATAAACTTTTGAGGTCCCTTCCAACATTGCCTGCTCGATTCCTCACTGCTTCCTCCTTTGCCTTGCAAAAGCAAAGCTTATCCAGTAAACATTCCTTCCATTTCAATCCTCAAACTTGTATTTTCGAAGTCAAAATGAGAAATGCAGAAGAACTCAAAATACAATGTTACTGGTGCCAAAAGCTTGTAACGAAGGCAGATTTCTAGCTGAAAACATTTTTATTTGGAACATTTGATGCCATGTTTTTGAGACGGCCAAAATTCTTGAATGACCAATGCAATGACTGTAAATACACACTGAACACTAAATTTGGTCCCTAATCTTAATTAATCCCTAATAAATTGCTGTGCAAAAAATGGTATTTTTTATGGGCTGTGTAAGGATTTACAAGGTTGCTGTCATGGTGCTGTGTAGCTCACAGCATACATTCCAGGGCTTCTTAACTCTTAAATTACATTGTAGATAAAGTAATGGATTTTCCATTCAAAAAGTTGAGATAGCCTTCCTGAAATTTACATTAAAATTACTTCATAAACTTTATGGCAATTTTTAAAATGAAGTATTCATATGAGGTTTTTGTGGGATTTACTTATCACCAGTAATTACAAACTTGTAAATCCTAGTGCAAGCCTATTCCTAGGCATGGACTGTATTTATAGTGGTGACACAATATTCCAGCTTAGGTATCTAAAGTTAGAATTCCAAATCCATACACTAAGGAATAAAAGAAGAACATACTGATTTTAGACTGTACTTGTTCTAAGCAATAAGGAGAACAGATAAGTGTAAAAATACAGGTGGGGAGGTGGGGAAAGAGGAATAGAAATCACAAAAAATGAAAGGGGTGTTATTTCTGGAAAATCAGCCGCATAGAATGGATGGATGCTGGTTAGGTAAAAGAAGCAGCTGCTGAGGAATACTTTCTGCATTGAACTCAGGGAAAAAAATAGTTGAACCATTATATTGCATTGAAGTTAACTGAAACCAGAGGGGTAAAAGTAAAATGGAAACAGCCCCAAAACACAATGTCATTGTGACTCTCGAGTGGATGGAGAGATCACTGGAGATTATTCAAGGTGCAGACATAATGGAAACAGGTGCAACAGCATATTTTGGTGAAATAGAAGAGCAGTAATAGCAAGGTTGTTATCTTAGCTGAGTTTAAACAGCTGAAAATTGGAGAAGAAACAGAAATGTGACAGAATTGAGCTCCTGCAGCTTTTTGATAAACGATTATGAGAAATATAACCGTCCTGGCAGACAGAGCCAGGTTAGTGAACAGTATAAAGAAACATTCCTAGGCAATGGAACACAATTATCTAAACCATTACAATGAGATTATAGCCTGACCCAGCTTTGACTCTAGATATTTAGCCCTCGCCTAAATCCTGGACACAGTCTGAGAATCAATATGGACAAATAAACATTCCAAGCTATAATGTATAAAATAACTTTTCTATTTTGAAGCCTAAGATCGAGAATGGACAAAGTTATTTTGTGACAGCCAGCCTCAGTGGTAGAGATGTTAATTTATTGGTATAAAGATACAGTTCTGCTTTCAAGAGTAGAGCCTGCAGACCTGATCCCAAGACTAGTTTTGTGCATCACTTCCGTGGAGCTTGGACCCAAAAGCTGTTGAGCTGCAGTGGTTCTGAAGAAATTTCATAATAACAATCTGCTTTGGCTATGTAAGATGATTGTAAGCTATTTTATGCTAAGAATATTGTATAATGTACTTTTACTATGAGCTGGAAAAATAGCTCTACAATTATTCAGTGAATTGGGTATTCCAAAATAGAGGTATTAGTAGCAGAAACGCAGTGATTAAACCATGTCCAACATGGGAGAGAAAAAGTTTGGCCTCCAAAGTGCTTCCTGAGGAACAGAACACTGAGGAACTTTGCCTTATAAAGAGGTGTAATGAGCACAGAGGTGGAGGTACACTGCACTGCACTGTTAAATGTTCTTTCTGGGAAGCCACTGGGTAAACCATCTTGGGCAGGCAGTGGAACAAGCATAAATGTCAAAAGGCATGATGCACAGACAGTTGCTAATTCATGGAAGTAGATAAAGTTACTCACAGTTACACCTCTTCTTTCTTTGAACCAAGGTTCATATTAAAACCATGCTGAGCACAGTGATGACATGGAAGCAATTAATGAGAATCCATGCCATTTTATAAACTGTAATACACCTCTTCTTTTACCCAGAGACAATTTCATCCATCATTGACTGTAGGCACCTCGGGAAAGTCTGGAAGAATTGCTGCTAAGCACAGTACTGCATAGGAAGTTCTAGCTAAAGAGCAGAAAAAAGTAAGCTTCTTCTTAGCCTGCAATTAAAGAGAAGGCCTTATGAACAGAAAATGAAATTTCTGCAGCTGTAGTTTGTCAGTAGGTCTAGTCTGAACAATTTTCGGTCAGAGCAAAACAGGAACCTGTCTTCCTGACATAATCTATTACATGCATTAAATCTACATTGCTCTGAGAAATAGTACTTTAGCTTTTATAACTATTTCTGTCTGTACTTTCACCTACACAAAAATGCATTAACCAGATATCCTGTATTCTTGTCAAATTCTGACTTTGCTTGCTCTGAATTTATCCTGCAGTAGACAGGTAACTGTAAATACATTATTGCCACAATCCAATCACAGCAAATATTATGGAGCATTTGGGAAAATATTTCACCTCCTTGTTTGTAGCAATTGACTTGATAAAGTACCTTGTATTTTATTGTAAAATTATTAGCCTGATTGATTACTAGGACATAAGGTCTGAATATCTTCAACTGGAGAAAATTGCTACAGGAAGGAAGGTACTTTGCCTTCCTCTGAAGCAGCCTAATTTGATGTGGTACAGGATTTTATGTGAGATATACATTCCATTCCTGTGGGAAATATAATTTTCCAAACATTTTCTTGTGAGGGCTGTGTCTTTGAATAGGATGACATGCTAGAGCTGACTGTGTCACTCAGAGTCTTAGAGACGTACCAGGGTTCAGGCACTCAGCAGGGTTTTGCCTGTTTCTTCTCTCTGAACACACCAAACCAGGAGCACTGGTGACATCTGGAAAATAAGGTGACAGATTACATCAGAAAACTGCTGGCGAAATCAGATTTGCATCCAGAAGGATCTGGGATGGCCACTGTGGCCCATGGACTTGCTAATAAGCAACCCCTCCTCCAAGGGTGAAAAGGCAAAGACCAAAGACATTGTTAACCAAGGAATGCTACTGTCCCCTGAGAAAAGCATTAGTGCCTCAGGTCAGCAAACACTATCAGGAGACAACAGTCATCTAGTTCTGTGTATTAGTGGGTCTCAAAAAAATTACAGTGCTGGAGGCTTGGGTACTACCACACTGAAACATCAGGGATTTGATTGAATTTTAAATAGCAGTAGCATTGAGCACTTCTGAAAATTATCATCTTCTAATATCGTAAAACTGTCTGAAATGCTCAAATTTGCATTCAGATCAGCAAAATGTCTTCATCAGAATTGCCTGAAAACATCAGCATTTCTATATGGTAAGTATGCTAGACTGGATGAGAATTTATCCATTTTCTTAATTCAATAGTTTCATCAATCCACCCTTCCTGCTTTCTTTCGTACAAACTTTTATCCCACATATGATAATTTCTCTAAGAAATTCTTGCTACCTGCTAGATTTCCCCTCTTAACCTGTGGTCTTCTGCATTACTTAAGGCAAGTTTCACACTTCTGAAAATAGTTCATTTGCAACAGACAGTCATTTCTGTTCATTCAAGAGTTTGACACAGTATTAGTCCTCTTAATTTCTGTTTACCATGAGATTTTTATGTGTCATAAAACATGCTTGTCCTGGGAGCTCTGAGGCGGCTGTTCTGAACTTTGTAGGCATGTTTCTATTCCTCAGTTTTCTTCTTTTCTCTTTTTTAAGCTCAAAAATCACAAAATATTATGTAGAAATAAAAGGCCCCAAAAGTGCAAATTCCATGTAAAATATAATTTTATCCAACCTTGTGACAATAGCAACAGACAATCATTTTCATTTTCCCAGTAGGAATGTGGGCAGAGGTTATTAGCTCTCAAAATCCTGGAGCAATATACAGTACCAAAGTAAAAATCTGACTTCCCCCATAAACAAATTTTCTCCTCTAAGAAACACTTCGATCCACAAGTCTATTGAGCAAAATAAACATGAATACTCAAATACAATCCTTATGTTTCACAAGAGGGAAGGTAAGAGGAAAATATCACATACAGCAACAATAACCAGAAAATGCAATAATGACAGTCTCTGTTTTGTTGGTTCACTATCTACCCCTGTAACCCTTCATCACTACCTGAGTACTTTTGCCAGACTGATTGTGAATTTCTATTCTGTATCACTTAATGCCACCTACCTCATTATAATCCTCTTGACAGCCCAGAAGAGATGATCTGATGGAGCAAGCTGACAGAAATAAAAGATATTTTAGCAGAAGAAAGCTTCTTTAAACAATATGTTTCTGAAGGGAAATTCATCAAGGACAAGAGCAGCAACAGAGTAATTCTTCTACAGTTAAGACATGAAATACAGACCATTGTGTAAAACACAATTTTGCCAAATTCCATATGGGAGATTGAAAAGCAGCACTATGGGCAGATTTGCAATAAGGCATTGGGGCTATCCAGCAGTGTCCTCATGTAACAATTCTAAATGGTATATCTGTCAGTTAAATGGGATTCTGCCAGTTTAATGACAAACTCAGTCTAAATATCTGAAGATCCTTCAAATTTTGGAATGATTAAAAATTGGACATTAATCCATACATAACCATTTGGATGATGACATTTTGAGCCTTCTCATTGCCAGAAACTTATTAAAAGTTTATTAAATTTATCTCTAGTATCTATGCATCTGCAGAGGATCACCTAGAACTTGCATTTTTGAGTTTCATCATTACTGCAGCAGATGCTATTATTTTTCCTCAGTAGAATCAAATAGGTCCAAGAGCAATTTGGGTTAGTCTAGATCAGCACTTTCCAACACATTAATTCTATTTGGAGCTGGTTCATGTTTTTTGAGGGGTTATGCTGTTTACATCATGTCCTGAAATGTCTTTAAACTGCAAATTGCAATGTGAACAAAGCGTCATTTGCAGCTAATGAAAACTTGTTTTATGAGTCAGGCATGATACAAATCAATTAATTAGTTTAAAAAAATTTTGGATCTTTATTTTGGGGTTTCCTACTTTTGTTTCTATGCAGTTGCAACATTAGTGGATGTTTTTTCTAAAGCACAGCTTCCTCTTCTTATAAATTAAATCCAGGAATGACATGACTCCATGATCTGAAATCTAAATAAATTGTTAGATATTTAAAAGAGAATACATTTTATAAGACTCAGAATTTTTTTAAATTTCTGATTAACATGATCAGTGGCATAAAAAGTTGAAAATTTATTTTCCCTTTGAGAATTACCTTAAGAATTCTAATCCTGGGCTGTTAGCCTTTAGCCAGTGAGGAATTCTGGTGCTCTTTTTTGGCAGAAGCAATCCATCAATCCCTGGAAGAGACACATTACATCTCAGCAAAGAAAACAGCCCACACCATTACCAACCTGCAAGTGCCATGCTCCATGGTAGAATGGGATGTCACGTCCCATTAGCAGTATGTTAATGACACTTACCTTGAAATATAATTTTCAGTTTTCAGAGCTGATGGGTATTGGATTATGGTTGAGGTTAGGGTTACAGGGGGATCTTGGTGAGTTGGAAAGTTCTGTTTGTTCTTCATATTCCCAAATAAAGCAAGTTGTTCAAAGCAAGGCCCTAAAATACTAGCTGTATTAAGTCATGGGATGAAACACGACTCTAAAGCAATCAATATTTCCTCAGGCATTCAAGCAAGAATAATTATTTTGGAAGTAGTCAATCAACTTCTTCATACCAAGAAGTGACATTATGTCTAAATCTCAAGTAATATTTCCTGCCTTTAATGCCTTATAACACTGCATACTATTTAATTTGCATTCTTTTTTTCTTGAGATTAGGACCAATTAGAAAAATTGTACAATGTCAGTTCTAAAAAGCAACTTTTTTCTAGAAACCAGACATGTTTATAGTTTGGAAGACCTGTTTTCTCACGTTAGCTAGCATGACATAAGGCCATAATTTAAATATACTTAGCAAAAATCTGTCTAAACAGACATTAACTGATATATGCATTTTCACAAATCATTTTGGCATCTGAGGTCTGATTTTGCTATTTTGCCTTCCCTGGATCTTCTTGAGGCAATTGTAGAAGAAATAACTAGAAAAGCAATATTGGCAATGTATTGGAAAAATCATGGTTACAGATGGTGTAAAGAATGCTATCCTGTTGAAAATCTATAAAGACTTGGAGCAAAATATAAAAGAAAGAGATATAAAAATACTTTATAAAATCCAAAAGCATTCTAGTTTAGCAGAATGCTTTATCTGCAGAGTTAAAATACACTTTAAATTTGAAGGTAGGGATTGTAACAGGTCATGTCCTTAGCATTGCTGACCCAAGGTGAAGTCCAAGATGCTCCAAGCTATATTGTCAATGCCTTCAACAGGATAATACTATATTCCCTACTTTTAATAATGTTCTCAGCTTGACACCATCAAATTATTATATGTTTCTTTTGACAAAAGTAAAGTTTGTATTTCTCAGAAGTCACTACATATGACATTTGCAATTGCCTTTTTTTACCTTTTGTTTTGTAATAATAAAAGTGACGAGGTTTACTGGAACACAAAATCCAACCTATTAATGTCCAGAATGACCATCTCCCAGGAGAAGAGTGGACTCTTCACCAACGCTGTCATTACCAACATCAATTTTCTGTGCATGCTATGGTTTCCATAGAGGTGTTTAGATGCTGACACAAATGTGAGATGAATGAAGACTGTGGGAATCTGTGCGTAGGTGTGCAGTAGCCAGGCTGCTGGGAGTGGAGCGTGACTGATGTGCAGATAGCAGGCTATGTGTGGAGAATGATAAACGTGGCAGGGGGGAGGGAAGAGGAGTGCACTCGTGAAAGGGAACTTGCTTTCCCCTGCCTGACTTTGCAGCACACCCCCTCTTTCAAGGTTATCTCCTCTCTCCCCGTATTCGATTACACTTGACAGTGATGAGTGCTGCAGCCAGATGAGACACACTTATTTTGCTGAACAATCCCAGAGGACTTTGAAAGACAGAACAATCCCCCAGCCAAGGAACAACTTAGGTCTCCAGGATACAAGCTGGGCATTTTTATTTTTTCTTTAGAAACAGAGGTTTAAAGCAGCTGAGGTTATTTGTAGACTGAGGTCAAACCCAGCAAATATCCACATAGTCAGTTTTAAGGGATGATTTTATATTTATCCAAAAGTCCTGCTACACCAATATAAAGCATTTGCAGGACCAGTCCTTTCTGGGACTTCTGTTTTCAGTGATCCACTCCAGTCACCAACCACACATGAGGTTCCCCAAGGCTGGCCAAGAGACGCAGACAGACACACAGGGCAGACACAAGGCAAGGGCTCAGAGGAGCCTCTGGGAGCCCCTGGCCCTGCCTGCGCCCTGACAGTTTTCCTCTGTAGGTTTTGAGTTAGCAAAAGGGCATCAATGCCCCTTTCTCTCTCCCTGGGGCTGTGAAAATTTTTCACAACTGTTGTTGGACTGTCAGGGAAGGATTCTGAAGCCCATTGCCAAGCCCCTTCGGTTATTTTGTGTCTTAGCATTTGAAAATACTCCCCATAGGAGTGAGTCCTCACCAAAGGACTGGCTAAGCTTATTTCTCCAAACTTCCTCTTACATCATTCTGTGAAGGGAGGATGAGCAAGACCAAGTAAAGATGTTAAATTCATTGTAATGGCTGGTCACTTTAATGAAAAACCCTATATTCACGCACAAGCGACTGTTCCATTTTACTGTGTTCCTGACTTTTTTGCCATGAAAGCATTAATTACTTTGCAAATCAAAATAGGTGTGCATATTTTGTACATTTATATAAGGGTACATTTGTATACTTGTACATTTTGTACATTTATATAAGTGTTATGTATACACATACAACAAGGGACAGGTTTAAATTAGCTGTTGGGAGGAAATTCCTTGCAGTGAGGGTGCTGAAGACTGGAACAGGTTGCCCAGAGTAGCTGTGGATGCCCAATACCTGGTAGTGTTCAGGACAGGTTGAATGGAGTTCTGAGCAATCTGGTCTAGTGTAAGGTGTCCTTGGCCATGGCAGGGGAATTTGAAATAGATTATCTTTAAGATCCTGCCCATCCCAATTGATTCTGTGATTCTGTGACATTTAGTAAAATTTCTAAATTCACAAGAATTTTTTACACTCTACAGCAATTTGTTTCAGGAAAACCTACTGTTTGTTTAAGTGTTACATTTTATTTTTCACTGGGCAGTTTTTCAGCTACCAACCTCTGGTTATTTTATATCCAGATTTGAGGTGATGAGGGTATTTATAATAAGGATTTAAAACATTATGCTGAAGGAAAGTGACACTAATAGACACTGAACTTTCCAAAGCTCCTATTATTGCTCAACTGTGACTCTTTTAACATGCTTTACCTGAATTCATTATAGATACAGTCTTCATAGACTTTTAGAAAATACTTTCCTGGCAGTATTTCTGTAGCAATGCCTCTTATCCATCCAAGATGAACTGGAGGATCTAATCCTTGTTTGTTTGGTGCAATAAAAATATTGTCCACATAAAGTTACCAACAAACTGTTATACAATCAATGACCAACTGAGCAATGGGATCAGTCTTGCCCTAGACTTTTGCTTTTACCTGTAAAAATTTGGCATACCAAATTTAAAAATATCTGCTTCATTGAATTCTTTCTCTCACCATTCTGAGACATACCCCTCACACTGAATGAATTTTAAAATATTCAGTTCAAATCCCATGAAAGGCCAAGGCCAAAGACTTCAGTTACATTACTGCTGAAATTCAAAGTTGAGCCTTGACTGTACTTTCTTTCTCTACTGCTGCTGAGGTTATTGTTAGCAATAATTTTACTGAGAAAAGAAGGTGGATTAAAAAAAAACCTTCAAAAAGAGAAAGAATGAGTGGTTAAATAGCAGTGTTCTGCAAGATATACTTAGAATCAATCATTTTACTGTTTCCTCAGCCACACTAGTGATCATAAATCCTGTATCTTTTTCCAAGCTCAGTGGTTGTGCCAGCCCTTCATCCTGAGAAACTTTGTGTGTCCTGTACAGGACTTCACTGTAGGATTATGGATTCAGGAGACAGCTCTGCTCAAGGGGTTTGTTTGGTACAGCACACCAGCATGGGCAAAAGGAAAAGAAGCCTTGAAGATAAAGAAATGGAAAAGGGGGTAGAAAAAAAGAGAAGTAATTTGTAGCTCATGACAGACATTTTGTTTATTGAGGAGTTCTTCTACCTTGACTCACTTGCATTTGGTAACTGGAACTGGAATTCCATTGGGCTAATTTGGAATTGACCAATAACATCTGGAAAAACTTTTTTCACCTTAGAAGATTTAGAGATATGCACACAGAGCTGACAAATATTTGTCTCTCTAACCTCCCAGTTGCAGATATGGTAAAGACTAAAGCAAAGTCTGCAAATGGAGTCATGTTTTCTCTCATGTCAGCTCACTGAGAAAAAAATTACATTTTTCGTAAGAAACGCAATGGTCTTTCTCCCTTCCTCATATATGGAGGTCATGACATATAATCCACTGCACATTTGCATTTGGTTCAAACTCACCAGTCTGCTTCTAGGATACAATGAAGTTTGAGGAGAAGACTTTGTTAGTCAAAAGATCTTGTAATGGAAAAACTGTTCCAGAATTTTCCAATGGCCTCACTGCTCTGGAAATAAAGCAAAACCAACAAATTTAAAAACAAAAACCAAAGCAACAAATTAAACCAAACAGTCCCTAAACACCACAGAACCAAACAGAATAAAGAGAAGCCAAACATTTTCCATGTCAGCATTGGTTAAAACAAATGGGTACAGAAATAGGGATGCAGTTACAAGATGCTGTGGTTGCAGGAGCCACTCTACTACTGAAGAAACAAGTCATGAGCTACAAACCTCTGCTCTATATCTGCACCTTGCACCAGCTGTTAGAAGCAATGAGTGATAGATTCCAGAACCTTCTTTTGAGTTTTGAATTCATTGTCAGTCCAGAAGAATTAATCATTGCCTTTCAAGAAGGAAGACCTCGTGGTTTTTTGTGGTGAGAGGAAGATGCTACTGTTAAGTTTGCCCCTGGGATGCTGTGAAGTTGTTTCACATTGTACAGTTACCAAAACTTAGTGGCAGCAATAAACCCAAATCTCCTGACAGCTGGTAAGTAGCAATTGTAAGGAGAAGCTCCTGAGCAAGCCCACTTTGGCTGGGATGCATGGCAGGAACTCAAAATCAGCACTTCAATAACTTCAATACCTGTAGCCAGTTATCCTTCCCTATCCCCTGAGACTTTTGGGTTTTTTGACAGTCAAGACATGGGGTATGGCTAAACTTTGGTCATCTCCCCACCTCAGGCTGGCAAGGTAATGATGCAGAGTATGGGTAATTCACAATTCACCTCTGTCTCCACATTAGAGATGAAAGATCCAGTCCTCTGGGCAAACCAAATCAGCCAAAACCTGACTACTCAGAGGCATTTCCAGCTGACAAATACATCAGAAATCTCTCTATCCTAAAGTATTCTTGGGCAAAAGACAAAATATGTTTCAAAATGCAGGGCTAAACTTATATATGCAGTACAATACTGCAGATATAATAGACTATTGGGCCATGATATACACTTTTTGTGTTGGTCCTTCCACAGACAAGATCCTAAAAAACCATTTAAATACTTTAAATTATGATGTCACTAAAACTTTAAAACTCTGAGTGGTTCCATATATTAAATATACAGATACATGTGGATAATTTTATAACCATAATTATCTCTCTTTGTAATTGTAATGGTTTGACATCAATGAAACTCCAAAACTGTGTGTAGTTTTATATAGTAAATATATGGATACATATGGATGATTTTATAACCATAATTACATATCTTTATAATTGCATTGGTTTGTGTACACACACACAAAAAAAAAAATGTTACGTTTAATAGTCTTTCTCCCAAAATATCAAAGGTGAAACAAAAACCATAGTTTTTCACATTCATTTGATCCCTTTGGGGCAGTTTCTATACCCTTTCCTTCTGGAGCTCTAGGTAAAGCATCTAACCACCAGGAGAGTAGCAGGTACTGCAGATTGACTGCAATCAGAGCCTTGTTCCCTTTTAAGAGAATTCAGTGGATGTTCCAAATGGAAAAATTTTGGCTTAACTTGGTTTCATACCTACATTCACAAACAATGCTGCCTCAATTTCTTTCAGTCTCAAGTGTGCATGACTAACTGATAATTTCCTGCATTTGTGACATTCCATGATCTTGCTTGATGCTGCCAAAGTTTGTGACTACACAGAAAAGCAGTGGCAGGTTGAGAGTGAATGACCCCCGGTAAGTTATTTTGAAATTGCCAGACTTCGCTCTGCAAGTTTAGTCTCTCATAGCAACGTGGGCAGCATATTCTGTGCTGGCTTCATTAAAAGAAAACGATTCCGTCTTTCAGTCAAAAAAAAAAAGAAAAGCTGTAACTGTTGAAGCAGCATGCACCTAATAAGAGACTTCTAAATCTGGCTCCATCATTTCAGTCTGTGGACTAGCAGAACGGAGCTTGCAGAATCCTTCTCAAGTAAGTATTTCTTTCTCTTTACTGCATGGTTTTTTGTCTTTTTCCTTTTTTAATTTAAAATTCATAACAGGTAGTAAAGAAGTCTTCATCCTTGAATTAGTGGTGCTGCAATATGACAACTAGATGCCTGCTTTAAATACGAATTAACATGCTCTGTTGTTTCATTTGGCAGACATTACTGCCTTTAAAAGGAAATAGTTAATACATTAAGGTACAAGACAGCAAATTATATAGATGGAGCTTCCTAAAGCTGCAGTGCTGGAAAGCTAATGAAATGATTTATAATTGACTGTCATGATAGGGTTTTTTTAAATGAGTTATGTATCTTGTCTTTGCATAATGCACATCATGGAACATGTCTATTTGATCTCATCAAAACTGGAATATGTATTCTGAATATGCTACTGGCCATTAAGTATGAAATTATCAAAATAATTTATATCTTCAAGAAAGGAAATATTCAGGCAGTGGCATTAATATTATTAAAGTTAATATGTACACATTAAACCTAGCTCAGGTTTGTATTAAATTATGAAAGAAGATATATGTAGTGCATTACTTTGTCTAATTATACAAAGCATTAGTCAAACATTGATAAACCCAGCAGAGTATAGATGAAAAAATTGTATGCAAAACAACAGAAATGCATAACATTTGCCAAAACAACCAGCACTTACTGTAGCATGCTTTCTGCAAGAGTATTTAAACAGCTCTGATGGACATGTCTCTTTAATATAATGAATGAGGTGGGACTATGGCTGTGGAAGGAAAATAAATAACAATATTTTGCTTTGTGTTTAAATTGCAAGTGTTCTAATAGAAAGGGGTTAGAAACAGGCAATGCAAAGGGCTACTTTTACATTTGGTATGCAAACACACATATATCCAAATACAAACAGACCTTTTTTGTTCTTATTTAGTCATACCTGCTTATCACCAATTCCTGTGGCATGCAACTCTGATTGCAAACATGCAGGTTTGCAGCCCTCAGCAGAAATATATTATAGCTGCATCTGAGGCATTACAGCACCAGAACCAGTATTCTGGAAACATTTAGCACAAGCATATACTATACCTCCAAGTAGTATTATTTGTCACAGTTTTTAATGTAGGGAAAATTGTGCTGCAAAAAAAATCACACTGTTTAGTTAACTTCTGCAGAAAACTACATAAATACTTCCCTCCTGCTCAAGTTACCCATCCCTCAACAACCCATGGTAACAGCAGTCAAGATTAAAATTACCACTTATTATTATTAAATTACCACTTATTTCTCTCAGTTATTTTCAAATTACTCAGAACAACAAATTTTAAAACATACTTCCATTCCAACTCATTTATATGCAAGGCAAGATTTTTCTAAAGCAAACTTTTTCAGAACATATTGAGGCATGGAACTGGAACAAGCATTTCCTTATTTACTGTGTAACAGACATAGGAGGTTTTGGCAGATTATGTATATGCATAGATAAAGAATTGAAACAGAGATAACAGAATTACTGTGTTCCAGGTATGGTGAACAATAATATAACCTTCCTTTCGCAAGCAGCATTAAGCTTCCCAAGGGCCAGCTCTGAAGAGCCCAATAAATTAGAAGCCAATAATGGAGAGGTTTATTCTGACTTTTCACATCCCTTCCCAAAATCTCAGGAAGGCGCAGCATAGTAATTACAAGACCAGTAAATAGTGATATTTATGGTACCATCCCCACAAGACTAAAGGAGACATCAGTGAGCAGAAATGCCACTAACAAGCTTAGGCCATTTGCACAGCTGTTGCACTTTCCCAACTAGAGGAATCAGTCCTTTATAACTGTTTCTGAGACAGACTGGGAGGGTGAGGAAGAGACAGAGAACTGCCTTTGGGAAGTCTTCAAAGGGAAATGGTGCCTTCATGATTGAGGGAATTTCCCAGGTAAAAAGGCTTATTCCTTCCTTATACTTTGTGATTTCCTAATCCTGCAAAAAAATGATCCTAATGAAATCCAACAAGCCTAGTACAGGTCTATTGCTCTCATGAAGTCAAAGCCCCTATGAGGGGGGCCAGGATTTGACCCACTACAAAGAACTGTGAATTTTTGTATTATGATCTGACACAACTTGGCCTAACACATAATTCACTGATTTGAATAAGCTCATTGGATGGGAAAAAAAAAAAAAAAAAAAAAAAAAAAGAAGAGAGAGAATATCATAGCAACATCTTATTCCTTTGTGGTTTATGCACTTAACAAAGACTTACCTTCCAGTCTTAAACTCCCCACTATGTTTAACATTTAATTAGCAGAATTGCATATTCCTGCAGATATAAAAGAAAGATGACAAGAAAAACACTGCTGTACTGAAAGATCTCTTCAATACTCCTTGAAGCATCAATGGGAAGGACTTTGAGTAGCCTTAGTTCACCATTTATGTAGTATCAGATCAGAAAGGAATATTATATGGCTTCAGAGACAGCAAGGCCTTGCAGATTGTGGCATCCAGCATAAATTAGGAATGGATTAAAGTAAAATAAACTGGTATATAAAATATATTAATTTTAAAATATAACATAATTAATGAGTGGGAAATATTTTCATTCCACCTGAAGAAAAAGGCATTGTATTTCTATCCTAAGCCTGATTTTACATGAGAAAATAATTCCATTCCTCTCATTCTTCCTCTCTACTGTCTTAAATTTTCTCATGCTTTTTTCCCCTCTTCTTAATGATGGTAATGATGATAATAATAACCATGATGATTACAATCATAATAATTATTATAATGATTATTATTACTGGGAATAAAGAAGAGAGAAAAGAGAGAGAAAAATGAGGGAAATGGTGTACCTAATTTGGAAAGCCCCATGACACTGCCAGACTTCCTCAAAGAAGGACATTTTTAAAGACTAGGCTCAAAGGATTTGACACTTTCCTAAAATAATACACATTTTCAAGGAGCAGTGGAAGAAACTAAGCCTCCTCATCTGTGTATTCTCAGAAGGATCAATTATTTTACATCTTTTCACCAAGCAACTGCAAAGTGAGCTGGAGACACAGACTCAGATGCTAGTGTAATGCAGATGACCTACAGCTCTACCCATCCCACAGCACGGCCACAAAAACGGTACAGCGTGTGAAGAAGAGCTCATGGAGCAGCTGGCTAAAGCAGAAACTGAGCAAGAAAAAGATGATGTTGGCAGAGGATAGAGAGCATTTTGAGGACTCATTCTCGGTCAAGGTACGCAGCCGCGGTTGGTCGCTTAAACACAAATCTGATATACAACTGTGTTCTGATATAATTGTTATTCACAGGTGCTATTAACTCCTTCTAGCTAGGAAGATCTGTCTCTCTTGGATGGGAGCAAAAATTTATCAGGCAGGTGATATCATAAGCTTTTTAGTGCTAAGCTCCATCATAAAGGAAAAGCTGTAATGTTTGTACTCTTAAGCTTGGCCTAACTAGACCACTAATCCATTCCTCACACTGTAGATCAGCCTCATATAATTTTGTAGTCCTCTCTTCCAAGCAGTCCATTGTCTGAACCGTGGAAAAAAAAAAAGATCACTTGAAACACTTGGAAAAAATACAGTCTGCAACTTCCTTTTTCTGGCTTTCTTTAGCAAGAGTAAAATTTCACTTCATGAGAGAGAACAAAGCCTTTGGTAATTAAGGGTAGCCAAATGTCATTAGCTGCGTCCACAAGTGCCTTGTATATCTATCTTTGAAAAACTTTAAAGATGTGCACAGTAATGTGTGTCCATGGTGCCATTTTATACTGCTAGGGAGCAGCCTACACAACAGCCAACATCTTACAGCTGATTCTAATTTGGCTGCTTGGTCAGTAATGGAAGGTGCTCTGACAGGATGATATTGAGTGCAGTAAGGGCCTCTGTCCAATGGAATGCTGTGCTGGAACTGAAAAAAAAAAATTGGTATACTAAAACATTTTGTTCTTGCATTTTTCTCTTTAATTTTTCATTTATTTTTAAATCTATAAATATAGCTTGCATTTTAGTTGGGTGTCTGTCTCTAATTTTACTGCAGCTGCAGCATTTGCCAGAGAGCAGTGGCTCTGTTTTCAGGGTGGTGCAGGATTTATACCAAAAAACCATCTCTTCTCTAATGCTCAGCACTTCTTACAGTTCTATCACAGCTCTTTCTGGTATACAGCCATAAATTAAATGAATCAGACTTATGGATGTTGACAAGAAAGATGACACAGCAATTTGTTGCCTTTAGTTTAGTCACCCTGTAGTTGTAAAACAGATAAATGTTTTACTCATCATGGTGGAGAGGTTGATTAATGAGAATTTAGAGCAATTTAGATCCATTCTATCTTTAGATTTAGATTCAAGGCTGAATGCAGGCACTGTCCACCATGCAGATTCCTGCATAGAAACAGAAATCTCTGCTCTTTAAGACACCACAGTAGCTTTCACCTCCTTTTCATACCAACAAATCTACCATTTCTTAAGAACCCAGACTGATTTAATGGTGGCAGTACTGGTCCAATTTTCTGTTTTTCATATCATGTTACAAATTTTCCAACAACTGATAAAGAAAGGAAAAACCCATTCTAACTTGTTCCCATAGGAAGTCATGCATTAAAATAAAAGAACTGAATTTTCATTCTACTGGTCCTGAAGACAGCTAAATCTTACAGACTCAGAGCCAGTGTCTGCTTAAATTCTCCTTGGGGCTGAAACACTTTCAAGCAGAATCTAGTGAGGTAAAAAACAATACATACAACACTGACTACATCTCCACTCCATTTGAAATTTTTGTTCTAAAAGGAAACAGAAATAGTGAAAGTAATATTTAGTGAAATTGAATTTTTGCTGTGTGAGGCCTAGTATCCTAGAAATAGATAATTATTGACTTGAAAATGTGGTAAAATTTCTGGAGAAAAACTATATAGAATAATGCTGAGAAGAATTTAAGAAAACGCTGTCTTGATGAGGAAATTGGTGTAGGCAACCTTGTATTAAAATCAAATTTGTATTTGACAACCATTACAGAAAAAAAAAGGGAAAAGGAAACCATCTGTTGGAAGAAAACCTAGAGAGGAACATCTGTATTATTTAAAGGAGTAAACTGAAGTGCAAAACTGAAAGGTCTGCATTAAGTGTGAAGAGGACTGGATAAGATGTGATAAAATTTTCATTTAAGGCAGGAGGGAAGAGAACTTCTGAGCAAGAATGGGCACTGGGAGGGTTGGGATATAGCTATTTTAAGAGTGGAGTATCTGCTGGGGGATGTACATACCTTTAGGGCAAACTGAGAACTTTGAACAGAATGCCATTCCTACAAATTCTAGTGACTCTGACCCTGCTGCTTAGGCAATATTTCTGAATAGTTGAAAAGTTGAATGAAAACTAGGAATGCAAATACAGGAAATACACACCATTATAAAGGAAAATTCATTCTTTGCTTCAGCAGGAGCAGCACAGACAACAGTGTTATTATTAATCCAAAATCTTGATGTCTACCCACTGACTCTAAAAGGCTCTGGAACCAGACATATTTGCAATTAAAATAAACCTCAATACTATTTAAAAATCAGATTTACTTTTTTGTTTTAATAATAACTTAAAAGTTTCTTATGAATCTCAAAATGTAAAAAACCTTTATACATATTTCGTTTTTTATTGTAGATAATCTACTGAAGATATTCTTGTTCATGTATCAATACATACTTTTAGATATAGAAAAACTTAGTACTAAAATTGTTGGATATTGTCTACTTTGGCCCAAAAATGATCATATCTTCCAGAGCTCTACACAAAAAAACTTCTAGTTGTCATAACAACATCCTGCAACAGATACAAGATAGCTTGTACTTGCTTTTAATACAATTAGCAAAAGTTAACATTTCTTGAAGATTAAAAAACAGGGATATTATTTAAAAGGGAGGGTGGACTTAATTTTTTTTCATTTTTAATTCCCACAAAATTCAGCTATTAATTTAGAATCTTCAGTCAATAGCCTGTAGAAATATTCCATTGCATCAAGCCATATTTGGGGGCAACTCTGTTATGCTCCATGTTTTTACAAAATATGCAGGTTTCTAATAACGTCTTTGTAAAGTGACACTCAGAATATAAAGAAGCCTAAATTTAGAAAAATACTGATGTTTTCCCAAGGAACAAGTTTCCTAGACAAATTCCTGGATGCTTCAATCTTGTCAAATGCGATACTAAGTCATTATGAAAGTCCCATTTAAGCTGTGATCTTAACTATCATTCCTTTATAAGTGCTCCAGATCCAACAGTCAGTTTACCAGAAAAGGATCAGTGTCACTCTGCTTATGTTTTCATATCAAGACTAAAATAGAAGAACATCTTAGCCATTGCAACACATGAAATTACAAACTGTATCCACTTGTGTCCCTAGAAATGTTTCACTTATGAGCGAGTCTTGATGGTACCTGGAGTTGTCTCCTTGATCAGGGCCACATGATGCAAGACTGGGTATCACAGAAATGCATAGAAAAATGCAGTTCTTTCCTAATTTAAAGAATACAGTCCCTTCCAAATTTAAAGGCCAGTTTAGACCAAAGTGCAGGTGCTGATCAAAGGTCAACAAACTAGACAATGGCAGAGCTGCTGATAAAGGACAATCCTATTTACAGTGAAGTCTCAGGTCAGACAGTTTTCACTTGATTTGCACAGACATACTGTTTTATTCCAACAATGGTGCCCACCATTTCTAGAGTAAGGCAAACTAATGCACAACTTTTTCTCTTAAGACTATTTTAATGTTAATATGACTGGTTTAGAAGAACTTAGTAATCTGGCAAGCATCCAGCTAGCTGAGGCATATTGTAGTAATAAATAACAGAAGAATTTGAGCTCACTGAAGTTATGTATTTCAAGAGTACAGCCCAGACTACTGCAGCAAAGTATTGCTATTCACAGTCCCACCTGCTTGCATTGGAATGGGAAATTCCCTATATCCACAATGTCTTCAGATTTAAATATATAAGGCAAAATAACTTGAACACTTCAAAAAATAAGTCACTTAACATATGGAAAATAAATCATGAACATCAATTATTAAAAATTTCAAGATATCAAACATTCAGATTTTTAAGCATATTTTGTTTTAATAGTCAGATTCTCTATTTGAACACATAATGGAAATAATTTCTGCAGGTCTGCTAGTCTCTAGAGAATGTTTTGGTTCTCAAGAGAGAACACTGTTACTACAAATTTTGATAGCACCAATCTTGTTCTGACCAAGATTCAAAGTGATTAATGTGAAAAGATCTGGATCATTTAAGTAAGAAGAATTATTTTTCATTTTGCAGCTGTGATAATTTTTTTTCCTAATAACCAGGTATGTCTGTGTCATATGTCTAGAGTTATTAAGCAGAAATCACATGAAAAAAGAGAAGCAGCAGTATAAGCAGTATGACACCCACAAATGTTATGTACCTTACCTAAATTACCTATAACCATTTATCTATGTCTATACCTATACATACATTTTACTGCTATGCAAATAAAATCTCTCTGAACAAAACAGCTCTTTTCTGGCAATAAAAGAGAATTATATGATCCATTTTTATTGGCTGTAACACAGACCTTTTAAATTCATACCTCAAAATTTGCACATAAGCAACGGATAGCTGAATTTATGCTTGTAGTTAACATAGCTTTATTCATACACAAAGGAGCCCAATCTCTCATGAATAAAAAAGCTCTTGTCCAAGTAGGTACAAGTCATTACAGGTTCTGGCACAACAGTGAGGCTTTCTCTGTTTCCAAAGCAGGCATTATTAATAAAGTTCATTAAAACTGCAGAACTCACACTTTGCCAAGCTCTAATGGATCTGGAAGGCAAAAGACCTAAGATGGATTAGCATAGATCCAATGCATTTCAGAATCCTGTTTGCTTCAAGAGCTACATTAAGTTCGTACAAGTCTGTATTGGACATACTGAAAAAACCCTGAATTCTGGCTTTGCAAGAAAAGTAGTGTTGTATTGTTCCCTGACTGCATTGAAAAGGTCATGAAAATCCTTTTGTTGACAATTGAAAGCATTTGCCAGCCCTTTAAAGTGTTATCATTCGCATTCAAGTGAGAGAGGCATAAATTCATCTAAAACAAGACAGTGTGAGCAAGATTTATGCATTTTTATCCACATTATCTCTGTGATCAGGATAATGTTTGTAGTATGCAATGGAATGGCACAGTCCCATAGAAATATGGAAGCATTTCAAAAAGTAATTCCAC